TCTTGATATGCATTATGTAAAGCATCATAATCATTTTCATCATCACTTGAAGAACAATATGAATCACTTACCTCATAGTCGGAAGATACATTGTCATTTGCCATCAAGCAAAAATTTGCTTCAATTTCAGAATCAATTGACTATAAACTATAGTCAACTTTCCTCCCACGCAATGTAAGCTTTCTTTTTGAAGGATTTTCTTCCTTTTGAATCATCACTTCTTTTGGGATAGTCGGATTTCACATGCCCTGTTTCACCACAACCATAACATTTGAAATTTAATGAAGATCCTTCTTTCTCATTCTTCTTACCTTTGAATGATTGCCTCCCTTTCTCTTTCATGAACTTGGTGAACTTCTTGATCATGAGACTCAAGTTCTCATCTTTTTCATTTTCAAAATCTTCTTCTTCCTTCTTATTCTTGCATTTTGAGACCTCGGTCTTAAAAGCTAAGTGTCTCTTGTTATTTTGGCCTTCCTCATCATTTAGCCTTCCTAATTTAAGTTTGTGCTCTCTCAATTTTCCAAAGAGAGTTGTCATTGTCATAGTTGCAAGGTTTTGTAACTTTGTGATAGCAGTTACCTTGGGTTGTCATTTCCTGTCCAAAGATTTTAGTATTTTAACATTCAATTCATTAGTATCAAAATTCTTACCAAGCCCAGAGATATGATTCACAATGTGTGTGAAACGCTTTTGGACGTCAAAAATTGTTTCTCCTTGTTGCATTCTAAACATTTCATATTCTTGAATCAAGGAGTTCTTTCTTGCTCTTTTCACATGATCGGTTCCTTCATGAGTCACTCTTAGTATTTTCCATATCTCCTGAGCACTTTTACATATTGATATCCTGTAAAACTCATCAAGGGTCAAAGCAGATGAAATAATGTTTCTAGCCCTAACATCATATTGGGCCTTTCTATTTTCCTCAGCAGTCCATCTAGAAAACGGTTTTGGTTCCTCTACTTCATTTACAATCATTTTAGGAATAAAAGGACCATTTACAACAGCTTCCCAAATACCCTTGTCAATAGACTTCCAAAATATTTGCATCCTAACTTTCCAGAAAGGATAATTTTGACCAGCAAAAAGTGAGGGTTTGTTAATAGAGACACCCTTAGTAAAAGTTTGGTTTTGTCTGACCATTTTGGAAAATTTGAAAAATTATCAAAGCAAGCTCTGATACCACTTGTTGGAATCGCACAGCGGAATGTTTGCGTTTAGGACAAAACCAAGAGGGGGGGGTGAATTGGTTTCTTTATAAAGTTATCACTTTAAAAACCTTTCGCAAGATTTAACCGATTAAACAACAACTGGAAAGTAAAGAGATAAGGAAAAGAAGATTACACAGGTAATTTTATACTGGTTCAGCTAAAAAAAGATCTTACGTCCAGTTGTTAATCACTTTAAAAGAGAATTAACCTAGTCACTAAAACAATAGTTCAAACATATTACAAATTACAAGTAATAGGATTAGAAAACACATCTCTTGAGTCACACAAGAGATGAACACCTCCTTTGAAGCCACAAAGGGTGAAGACAACTTTTCCTAGAGATAGCATAACACACAATCCACAAAGCGATAAGAATCACTTCTATCCCACACTAGGTTACAAAAACCCTTTTTTCTTCCCTACTCAAAGTTCTCTCAGCAATCACAATTATAAACTTTAGTATGAAAAGGTTGTTCTTTACAGAGAGCCAGAGAGTTCCTTAAATATAGATTTTAGGGTTTTGAAATTAGGGGTTTTCAAAAATAGGTCTGAAATTTGAAATTCAAAATCATAACTGACACAAATAATCAATTATCATAAGTGATAATTGATTATCACAGAGCTACTTTCACAGAAGACAAAATTTGACTAGGATAATTGATTATCCACAGAGATAATCGATTATTCTAGTGACTTTTAGAAACCTAGGTTTAAATAGGATAATTGATTATTCCAGTGGTTTTCACTAATATGTTTTTAAGTAGGATAATCGATTATCCTAGGTGATAATCGATTATCACATAGCATTTTTGTTAAAAATGAACTTTCAATGGTCAAACTATGTGCTGGCTATCTTGGACTCTATTTTCACAGATTCAAAATGATAAAATAGAGTTATTACAAACAAATACAATTGTATATAAGTTTTCTAATCTTGAAGTTCTTTGTCTTTGAATCATCATCAAAACCTTCAGGCATCATACTCTTGTATTTTCAACAAGGGTAAGCTAAAAATTTTAGGTGAGCAAGCAATACCTTCTTGACCCCTTTATGGGATATCATGATGCCCTATTTTTTTGCCCCCTTTTGCTTTCTCTTTCTCCTTCCTATCTTCCTCTTTATGTTTTTTTCTTTTCATTTTTAGTTGGTCCTTAGTAACCTTGTAAAGCCAATAATAAGTGAACACAACTTGTTATTAACGAGCCAACAAGTATGAAAAATGTTTCTCTTTGAGAATTGTCAGCGTCCTTGATGGAAATATTCTTCCTCCTCCCATCAAGATTGGCACCGAGAATTTTGCACCATGAGCATCCAAGATTAATCAAAATTCTTTCCTAAGTTTCTAGAGAAACTTGACACTAACTCCTCCAAGGAAGGTTCCTTGTTAGGATAATAGGATAGAGAAATCTCCAAAGACACTTGAAGATAAATCAAAGTCGGGGTACAAGCAAATATGTAAGTTTCACACACAAGTTTTGATTTCATTCAAATGTGCTCAAAAAAAATACACAAGGGGTCATATATATAGTTGTTCCCCTCTCATTCACTCACTCATCTAGGGGATGTGAGACTAATTTGGCCTTATAGAATTAACAACCAAATTTCTCAATTACAAAGGGATCAAGTCCCACATTTCTTTCATCTATATTATTTTAAGAGTTTATATACCCCATAGTTGCAACCAAGACTTGAAGCTTATTTCCTAACAAGTAATACCAAAATCATGAGTACTAACTATAGTGTATGCTCCTTTCCTATTCCACAAGGGTACATAAGACACTTTCATTCAAGTTAGTATACCGAAGGTGTAAAGTGAACATGGATACCAAGTTGTTAATTTTTGTTTTGTTTGCCTTCTTCTTCTTATGTAAGAAACATGAGATAATATTATAGCAATTTTCTAGAATGAAATTGGAAAATGAATTACATATTATGTCTTAATAAGATGTAGAAAAAAGAATTGTTTTTTCATTCTATAAATTTCTAAATATTAGAAAGTTACAAGTGATACAAGGTATGAATTTTGTTGAAAAGAATGATTGAATTTAAGAGAGAGTAAATTAAATGATAGAAGATTTTCACAAATAAAACCAACACCAAACTATATAATGATTGTGTCATCTTCTAACAAATGAAGTTATTGCAAGTTATAATCAGTTATATGATCAAGATAATAAGACACAACTAGCAATATATAAAAAGTACAAGCCCCCATTAATAAAAATGTTCACAAGATATAAGTGAAAGATAGGAAAAAAAAAGCAATACATATAAAATATATTACTTCACTCTCCTATCGAGAGTTATGTCCATTCATCTAGTCACACCAACAAATAATTCACTAACTATAAGTGAATATATATGATCCTACCTTATAATAAAAAAAAACTACAATCAATACTCTTGAACCTTACAAGATTACCAATTTACATGTGAAACTCTCATGAGTTTTCATAGTCTTGTCTGCCCTATCTAAGACACTAATCTAGCCATACTAGCAAGACCCAACATAAATTTTGCACACCACAAGATCACATAATCATTGTGTGAAGTGAAACTTTATTCATCGACCAACCTTAGTATTCTAAAACTGGTCACTCTAGTTATGTTTTCTTTCGTTGTCTTATTACATGATGTACTTTAGACTATAAATTGATGTAAGAGTGTCATTCCATTAAACTTGTGGAAGCATTTAATAATTTGATCAGTTGATGTTGTGATAGATGATGAGAGGTCTTTGTTCACAATTTTTTCATGGATTTTTTTTAATGATATTCCTAATTTGTCACTAAACAAAGAGTTTAAAATTTTAGTAGATTTGATGGTGGAATTGAACTTATTTCTAACACCAAATATATATTGAATCAAAGAAAAATATATGAAAAAGTAATTATTATAATTTATATACACTACAACAAAAACATCAAATAGTGACCGAATTTTCGATCACTAAATTACCAAAATCGGTCACTAACTAAAACAATGACCGAAATAATAACCAACTCAAATCGGTCACTCTTTCTTTGGTCGCTGATTTCAGTGATCGAATCAGTGACCGAATTAGTGACCGAATCAGTGACCGAATCAGTGACCGATTTAGTGACTGATTCAATGACCGATCGAATCAGTCACTATATTGGTCACTAATTTTTTATTTAAATAACGATAAACCTTAATAAGGAATATTAAATATATCAAAATTACAGTCCTTGTTGAAGTAGAAAAGGGAGATGTAACTACACGTGAATCTTCTAATCTAGAGGGTGGTGAATTGGAAATGAAAACAAAATATGTGGCATCAAATGAAACACACAACAATAACATTGAAATAATTGAAACAAAAGATACTCCTAATATTTCTTATGTGAAAGAGAATATTAATGCTACAAAGATTGATTCAAGGGTGATACACAAACAAATGAAACATCAGACTCATCTGAATTTTGCCCTGACCCTCCTTCCATTACAAAACCCCTTTCAATCAACCTTCACTAGCCCAAAAATTTTCCCTCTCTCTTTTTTTTTTTTTTTTGGTTTACAAACTTCACCCTTTTCACCCTCAAACAAAATTCATCTTAACTTTTTGTTTAGAGTTTAGGGTTTAGGGTTTAGGGTTTAACTTTTTGTTTCACTTTCCCTTCAGTCTAGTCACCACAAAATTATCAAATCACTACTTCATTTCGAAACCCAACTTGAAAAGTTTCAACATTTTCTGCAGAAGAACAAAACAGGGTCATGCAATTAAAAAGATCTCAGGAAAATTATTTGCAGATAAAACCCACAAAGAAAATGAGAACAAGTAAGAATTTTCACTCAAAATACACTACCAACAGTTTGCTGTTAAAGGAACTGGACAAGTACAGGATCCTTAAAACAAAAGACATAGAAAGAGAGAAAATTTGCATGAAAGAATAATTTGTTGTAGAAACCTTGTTGGGTGCATAATTGTTAAAGGTCATGTTCTGTCACATCAGGAGAACACGTGCTTTAATGTAGTAAAGTTATCGTGCATACCTCCTGTGACACAGTGTAACTGTGTTGAAAACAAATTTCAAGGAAAACACTGTATCTCTAAATGTAACTATAACAAACTCATCCTTTGGTATTGGATTTAATCAAAGTTCTTTCGAATTGTTAATAGTAAAATTGTTTATTTTTTATTCTAATTAATAATAAAATTGTTAATAAATAAATATTGACAATTTTAATCTACACATAATACATTATATAATTAATTATGCATAATTAATGGTGAGGAAGTTTCATGCTTTAAATTTAATAAATAACAAGCACCCTAATAAGAGATTATAGACACTAATTGGTTATCTCAATTCTAACAAGCTACATCATGGTCCATTTCCTGATTTCTCAGTTCTTTCAAAAACTAGGCTGTCTTTCCCATCCTCACAAAAAGTTGCCATTAATATACTAGCTATAACCATTGGGTTTATTATACCCATTTGACCCCAAATTTCCTCTGTTCCACTAAACCATGACATGGTAACAACACAACATCAATTCATTATAAAACGTACATTGAGTGACCCTAAAATCAAAACCCCTCCTCACATTTTGCTTTAAAAACTGCATTTAAATCATTCAACAAAATCAAATCAAATTCATGATGAGGGGAGTGAGCTAGGGCTTGGTTCACGGTGGCGCGGTGATGATGGAACCGTGAGGAAGGTTGCGGCCGCGACGTCGTGGTTGCGCGAGCTCGACTGTATGGTTTAGGTGGCTTCGGTGAGGGCGATTGGGGGTGGTTTGCGGAGAGCACGGTGGTTGGCGCGGAGGTCTACAGGGACCGCAAGGGCTTGCGGGAGTGAGGTTTGGCCGGAAATAGGGTGAGACGGAGGAGCGGGGGACTGGATTTACGATAGTAGAGGTTGGGTCTCTGTGGCTGGCGCGGCTAGGTGGCTAAAGGTTGCGGGGGGGAGCGGCAGATGGTTTCGTGGTGGCTACCTAGGTCGCGGCTATGACTTGGTGAGGCAGGGATGATGGGGAAATGGGAAAAAGAGATGGAGGTAGAGGGTGAGCGTGAGCGTGAGGCGCAGAGGGGCTAGGGTACAAGAATGAATGTGAAGCGTGTGTGGGTGGAGGGGGCGCCGAGGGACTGAGAGTGTGAGGGGATAGCTGGAGGAGAAGGTGTTGCCTGGGTGAAGGTCCTCTAGGTGTCCGTGTGTGAAAATGAGGATGAAACTAAGGGAGCAGCTTGTGCGGGAGGTGGATAGTACCCTAATTTGTAAGTGAAGGTGCAGGGGAGAGAGATTGAGGGTCAAAGTGTGAGAGCCTCTTAGTGTGTATTGGAGGCCTTTTGTAATATTTTGTAATATATGAGTTAAAAAAATTATAATTAAATTTTTTAAAAGTTATTAGTTTTTTAATTTATACATAATAAAAATAAATTACAAATATTATATAATATATTAGTATAATATAGTATAATATATTTATATTCTAATTTTTAATTAAACTAAAATTATGTTAATAATATATAATAATATACTAGAGATAATAAATTTAATCCAATTATTTATGTATAATAAAATTTAATATTTATTTTTACTATAATAAATCAAATAAAATGATTTGATAAAAGAGATTAAATTAATAATTAATTTAATTATTGATTATATACATAAAAGAGACTAAATTAATAATTAATTTGACGATTAATTCAGATGATCAAATCGATGATCGAAGATTATATATATGAAAAAGATTAAATTAATAATTAATTTAATGATTCATTCAATGATCGAATCTAGTCATCGAATCAATGATCGATTTGGTGACTAATTTAATAATCAATTTTAATTTTTTTATTCACATACTAAATTAAAAAATAAAATTAAATAATTATATTATTAAATTATTTAATAAGTTAGTAAACTATTTTTTAAATTATTATAATGTTATTAAAAAATTTATCAATTATTTTAAATTATTAAATAAATTTATATTTAATATATTATTAAAATATTTTAAAAAAATATTTATATAAATGAAAAATAGTCATCAATTTATATATTATTTGTTTAATAATCTGAAATTTTAATCACTAAATCGACCACTAAATATAAAAAGAGAAATTAGTCACTGATTTAGTTATTATTAGTAACTCGAATTTTTCGATCACTAATTTCGGTCATTATTAACCATTTTTCTAGTAGGAACCGAATTAGTGACTCGATTCGATGACCGAATCAATGATCAATTTCTGTGACAAAAATTTTAATCACTAAATATAAAAAGGAAAATCAGCACTGATTCAAGTTACTATCGATGATCGAATTTTTCGATTACTAATTTCGATCACTATTAATCATTTTTTTAGTAGTGATAAAGAATAAATAATTATTATAATTTATATATTTTAAAAATAATAAAAATATAGAAAAGATTTAAATATATTTAAAAAATAGAAAAAAATTAACATAATATTCTAAAAGAAATTAATTATATAAAAAATTAGTAATTTTAGTCTATTAATGGTTAATTAGTTTTTTTCACTCCCATCTAACTCGTTGACGGATTATTTTGTTGAAATATAGAATTTCTCTTTTGTTCCAACTTTCAATATCCAAAGGAATAAAAAATAAAAATAATAAAAATTCAGAATATCAAACTTTATAAAAAGTTTTTTAAAAATCAAAATTATGAACGATCAGATATTGAACCAAAACTTATATATATATATATATATATATATATATATATATATATATATATATATATATATATATATATATATATTAGAAATTAAAATTACTATTTTTTTTTAAATTATAAATGTTTTGAGAGATAATATTTCTTTCCTCTATCATGGTATCGCGAATGCATGCATCCCTTTGTCAATTTTACAATTGTGTTGTTTCATGTTAGTTGGCCTCTACTACACCTCGAGAAAGAACTCAGGAAATCGTAATCTATGAGAACGACTTCTTCCTTCTCGTTTCCGCTTCTTATCGCAACCACCATTTCTCGATCCTCGAAACCGCGTCTCATCCTGGCCGCTTCTTCCGACGGTGACGCTGATAATAAAGAAATTGGAGAAGCTAAATCTTATTATTTTTTTCGTGTGAAAAATGAACGATACAGTACATTTATAAGTTTAGAATGAGTTTTGAGAAATTCTAACATTAACTTTCTATAATTAAAATAATAAATATATAAAATTGTAATATTAATAGTTTAAAATCAAAATATTTTAACTAGTATTTAAATATATGATTTTTTTATTTAATTTTATTGAATAAAACTCTTTGGTAAAATTAAATCTTTCTTTAATTGATTGAGATCAATCACAAACCAACCTATCAATTGCTCTCTCTAATTAAAAGTTTCTTCCATTCTTTATCTCAATCAACTTCTTACAATTTTCGAACGACTTCGTAGGTAATGATTTCATGATGATATCGTCAACTTTATCTCCATTTGTCACATGTACAAACTCAACCATTTTCTTCCTTTACGTGTTCTTTGGTGAAATAAAACTGCACATCAATATGTTTACTCTCTCATGGTAGATCAGGTTCTTTGCTAATTTAATGACTGATTTGTTGTCAACTCAGATCATTGTCACACTGAGTTGTTTCTCCTTCAATGTGCTCAACAAATTCTTAAGTCACACTGCATGACACACATTCCATGATGTTGTTATATACTTGGCTTCACATGTTGACAATGTCACTATAGGTTGCTTCTTTGAAAGCCAAGTGAACATTATTTTCCCCATAAAAAATACATATCCTGATATACTTCTCAATCATCCACATCTCTGCACCAATCACTATCCGAGTACCCAACAAGTCCGTAATATTTGACCTTGTATACAATAGTTTGGATGATATTGTACCTCAAATATACCTCAACATTCGCTTCAACGCCTTTTATTGAGAATAACTCGAACCTTCCCTAAACCGACTAATAATCCCAATGCTCAGCAATAAATTGAGTCTTGTGCTTGTAAGGTAACAAAGACTTTCCATTAAGCTCTAATATTTGCTCGGATCAACTCGGTCTCCTCCATCAAACTTTGAAAACTTCGTTCCTGGTTTTATAAGGCTTGAGACTGAATTACAATTGATCATCTTGAACTTATTCAAAATCTCCTTTGCATATGCCTCTTGGGACATAAATATCTCTGACTCCTTTTGTCTAGCCTCCAAGCCAAGGAAAAACTTCATCATACCCAAATCATTCATCTCGAATTCAATCACCATTGTGCTCTTAAATTCTTGAATCATTCTAAAATTGTTTCCCATAAAAATGAGATCATTGATATATAGTGCAACAAACATAATGTTACCTCTATTATTCTTCACATACAAGGCATGTTCATAAAGATACTATACAAACTCATTCTCCCTAAAGTAGGTGTTTATCCAATTATTCCATGTCTGAGGAGCTTACTTTAGCCATAAAGAGACTTCTTTAGCCTCAAAACTTTCTCCTCCTCCTCTTTCTTCACGTATCTAGGTGGTTGCTCAATATACACCTCCTTCTTAAGCACACCATTCAAAAATATCGACTTAACATCCATCTGCATGATCAACCATTTGTATTGCCTTGCTAGAGAGATTAACAGTCAAATAGTCTCCATCCTCGTCATCGGGGCAAACACCTCATCATAGTTTATCCCTTCTATCTGTTTGTAAACTTTTTGCAACCAACTGAGCTTTATATCTTTCTACCTCTCCTTATGCATCCATCTTCTTCTTAAATACCCAATTTACACCAATAGGTTTCCAATCCGGTCATTGCCAACATGTCATTGCATTTTATAACTCAGATATTCTTATCCATAATAGCTTGAATCTTCTCATTCACAACAACTTGAATCTTCTCTTTCATGACAGCTTGGATAAGGTTGCTTTGAAATCTATTACTCAGAAATAGCTTGACCAAGTTTGACTTCAAACTTGAAAGAGTGAGAGATCTACAATCTACTGACTCTGTTGTTTCTTCTTCTTTCTCGGTTTCTAAACAAACTAAAATTGGTGGTGTAATAGTCTAACATCCTTTAACATTCTTCAGTCAACTTCATCAACTCGAATATAACGATCAACATCATCATTATCATGGGAGAGATCTAATGAAGAAGTTAATAGGAAGAATCTTGGGAGTCTTGACTAGAAGATTTGATGAAGTCAAAAGAAGATGTTATGTTAGTCCATTAGTATGTCTACATCTACATTGTATAGGTATAAGCATCTATCCTCTCCTCAAGTATGAGTTTCGTTCTTTTACAAAGTATAAAGTGCCTCAAGTATTTTTAATCTGTTAAAAATCATTTTAATAAATTAATATATTCTTCTGTTGCAGTTTTAATTGATATGTTTTCAAAATAATTGATTAAATTCACTTAAGCAGCAAAAAACATGTGTAGTTGCAGTTTTAATTGATATGTTTTCGAAATAATTGATTAAATTCACTAAAGAAGCATTAGAACACTTTTTGTCGCTTGATACATGTTAAGTGGTAAAAAGTTGATATAATTATGCCTTAAATTGTTATGAAACCATTTAACTTATGTTAATTCTAATCTATTTTTCTCCCAATATAGGATGAATTCGAGAATACCTTGATATAAGAGTAAGGAGCATAATTGTCTGCATAATTAGAGAAAAATTGAAAGAAAGAAGAACGCTTAAGCGAATGAATGATGCGAGACTCGACCCAAATTCTCTTATAAAAAGATAAGATGTGTTTTCAGAAAGCAAGCATAGAGAAGAGGAGGCACAACTACTGTTAGGGTTTTTTCTAATCTTCATCAATTCTTCACTTCTTCATCAATTGGAGCATTGTCATGGCCAACATGAGTGGCTAACTTCATCCTCTTAGGATTCAGTGCACTTCCTTTGAACTCTTTCGTATCATGGTGATATTTTAAGATATTAATCTATGTTTTGATGTTGTTATTCTTATCCTTTATGCTTTGGAATAATTTATTCTTGATGTTTGAGGTATGATTGAAAAATATATCTTGAACCCTAGATCACGGTAAGAATATTTGTTACGTTAATTGCCAAGAATAGAATGAATGTATCAATTGCTTAACACCCTAACCCTAATGCTGGAAAATCTCTTAATTGTGTGAGGAATCAACATTTATTAGGTTTTCTTATGAATTTCATGTGTGAGGAATCCACATGGATGATTTGAGTAAGTAGCATCAATATTATTAGGTTAATTGACGTTCTTAATTGATTTAGCCATTACAAAAGAGGGATAAGGAAGGAAGTCAATCCTAAGTACCTTTAATTGATATTTTCTCTACAATTTACAGTTCTTTGTCATTTAATTTCAATTCAACTTTTATTTACAAGACCCATTCTATTTTAATCCACTTAGTAAGCATAATTGGGAATTTCCATTGAAACCGTTCCTCGTGGGATCGACTTTTATTTAATCAAAATACTATACTGCGATTGATAATTTTGATACGCTTGCCAATAATTCAACAATACATTTTTTAAATAATCGATTAAATTCACTTAAGAAGTTTTAGAACACTTTTTGTCACAATTTTAATTGATGTATTTTTGAAATAATCGATTAAAAATATTTAATCATTTTTTTGTCGCAGTTTTAATCGATTAAACCATATTTTTATTGGTTAAAATGTCTCTACAAAATATTCATAATTGTTTTAATTGATTAAAACTCATTTTTATCAGTTAAAACGTCTCTGGAAAATATCTAGAATTGTTTTAATCGATTAAACCTCGTTTTCATCAATTATAACGTCTCTGGAAAATATCCATAATTGTTTTAATCAATTAAAACGTCTTGGGAAAATTGAAAGAACCTTTTTAATCGATTAAAAAAAATTTCATCAGTTAAATCCATTTAATCTAAGTTGTTTTAATTGATTAAAATGTGAATTAATCAATTAATCATATCAGTTAGTTAGAGAAATCTTTATATAAATAGATTTCTACCTACATATTAAAACACACATTTGAGAAATTATTCAAGCAATCTTTAGAGATCTTTTCCAAGAGAGAATCACGCTTTACTCCTTAGAATTCTTTTGAAATCTTTCTTGAGGCTCTTTGTTCTTGTTTTTGAAGAAACTCATTATGTGATTGGATTTTTGCATCTGCATATTGATTTGATTGTTGTAGTTTCTTCAAGCATCTTGTTTCTTCATTCGTTTCGTTGTATTTTCAGTGTCTGGAATTGTGGACAATAGGTTAAGTAACTGAATTGGGGTTATTTTCATAGGTTCAAGAACTGGGTTGTAGTTCTTGCTGTAGATTAATTTTCTACAATCTGTACTTGTAATCAATTGGTTTTTCATTAGTGGAACTCAACTAGAAATTGGTTGAGAACTGGTTGTAGCCTAGTGGATTGGGTGAACCAAGTATAAACTTTGTGTTCTTGTTCTTCTTTCATCTCATTCTTTTATTCAAGATTGCTATTATTTGGTTTAAGTTAAGATTGGTTTCTTTCAATCTTTGAAATTGTTAATATATAATTAAAAGTTACGAAAAGTTTTGATTAGATCAATTCACCCCCCCCCCCTCCTCTTGATCTTAACCTGTATTTCTAACAAGATCCTAAAAGAGTTAGAAGATTTGATGAAGTCAAAAGGAAGATGATTTGTTGTAGTCCATAGTGTGGCTGCATTAAATATCATAGGTATAAGCACTTATCCTTTCCTCAAGCATGAGTTTCTTCTTTCAAAAGTTAAAAGAAAAAGTGCCTTAAGAATTTTTAATATGTTAAAAATTGTTTTAATTTGTTAATTTGTTCTTTAATAAGTTTTTTAAGCTGATATATCTTTGAATTAGTCTATTAAATTTACTTAAACAGTCAAAGAACTTTATGGTTTGTAGCTTTAATCAATTAAAAAAGATTTTAATCTGTTAAAATATTCTTGGTCGAATTTTAGAAAATCTTGGTTCACAGTTTTAACTAATACATGATCGATGTTATTAGTTAAAACTTTTTGGAAAAATGGACAAAGCTTTTTTAATCGATTAATTCACTTTGTTATCAGTTAAAATGTCTTTGGAAAATGT